ATTTGGCTTATTTCTGATCACTCATCTTGTGGTATTTCACTTAGTTCTGCGAGGCAAAACCAAGAAGAAAAAATTTAAAGACGACCCTGCAAAGGAGATCCAGGCAGCCATACACAAGTAAGTAACATCTCAGTTCAATCATTATGTTAATATCAGTAAGTAGTTTGTACTTGATATAGCAGTATACATGTACCTACAGTCCCGATGTCTGCCGTTTAAGTCCTGTCACAGTGACACCAAATGGAAGGGTGTGACAAAAGGAAGGGTGTCTTAAATCAGTGTCAGGGATTCGCTCTTTGCACGCTGCTGCCATAGGCATGCAAAGCCTCCATCTGGCAGCTTTACACAATAGATACAGCCGGTTCAGCGATTCCCGGTATGTTGCTTAGTAATTTTGCTGAGTCAGCTCTTATATGATGTGATGGAACAATATTTCAGAAGTTGCGTTGATACAATTCTGATGCGATTCTACAAGCTGCCAGTTTGAGGCTCTGCATGCTTATGGCGGCAGCGTGCAACAAGAGAATAGGGTCCCATCCATATAGAAGAACCCCGGTCACCCCCCTCTTGCTGACCAAAAAGAGGCTGGTGGGAGCTTTTTCAATTAGGCACCAGATGCAGACAGTGCATGCCAGCAGTAATTGGTTGTACATGTACAGTGTATGTGCCAAGCCCGAAGGAACCTGGTCATACATGTGTGGTGTTTCCCCACCAAATGTCATTGTTGTGTAAAATATGCCATCTCTTATTCAGGCTTGGAGTGAATGGAAATGATTTTTCAAGGGACAAGAGATTCAAGTTGCTGTGGTACTTGCACCTTTTTACCCCGGGTTGGAATCCCATCTGTTGCATCAGGTGGTTTTTCAGTCTCCATGTGCGACTCTTTGTCTAGAAGATCTATGCAGAAAGTTTCCGTTTGTGCTTTTAAATGATGTGACAAAAGCAGAGACTCTGAATTCTATGGATTCTGAGCACAAGCAGTAGATTGCACTTTGTGAGAATTCATGAGAGCTCCATTCTAAGAGACACTTCACATTTGTGCCCTGGGTCATGGTCAGTGCAGTTAAATTGTGTAACCAGTTTTCCTCAGAATGTGCACAAACCTACAGAACCTTTGCATGAGCACCCATGTGCACAGTGACTATAGCACTCACTCATGTGCCCATGACTAGCTTTCCTATATCACTGCCAAGGGGGTATTTTCTAAAAAGAGGTTTTGATCTTGTCACAATTTGTAAAGAGTCACCATTCATATGATGAACAGTAGAAGCAAACCAGATGAAATTTGACATAACTGATTCCTGAGTGACACTGGAGGACTAGACTCATTTTGGGGGCTTTCTTTATTGTGCTGTTTTTGTCTGCGGCAGACTTGCCAGTAACAAGAGCAGCTACTTCAGCATGATGATGGAATGCTTCGTCCAGAACATCAAGGACAAGGAAGAGAAGGAGAGACCAGACATCTTGATCCGCAACATCAGGCAGTTCATGAGTGGCATGAAGAATTACCTATTCAACCGGCGAGAGCCCGAGGTGGATGCAGCCATGGACAAGGTAGGACTAGTCAAAAGGTCATGTTCTCAGCTGGTTGGTAAATTGGTCTTAGTAAATTCATTCACACGGGGCTGAATTGGCCAACCATTTAGTGTGTAAAATGAGGATGTGGATTTAATTTGGGAGTTCCAGGTGGCGTTATGTAAAGAGTTTTAGAGAGGTAGGGCCGCTGTAAGAATGGAAGACGTCTGATGACAGTGATAACATGTATCGATAAAGAACAGCACTTTGTATTATTTTTTCCCTCTTCTCATTGGACCCATAAAGCATTTTTGGGGGCAATCTCAGCTTCCAAGGGTGCAGCAAAAATAATCACACCAATCATCTCTGCCCTCACTGGTACTCCTTTTACTCCCGAGTGAGGAGACGTAATCATTGATGGAGTGTTCTACCCAGAATGACATACACTCCATCACATACACTCCAACCCCACAAGCTGTACTCAAAACCCTCGTCTGCAGAATAGCTAATGCAGTCTTCTTGTCAATAAATATGGCCACAGCAAATGTGCAGATAAAAACCCCACCGGCTTTTCTTCAAAAACTTACGGAATAATTTGGTAATGTTGTCATTCTGCCTCGGATGGGGTTTGAACAAGGTGCCACTAGTAACTGAAATGAGAAAAATGTCATGGCGAAGACCTGAACAACTGCTGAAAAAAAAGAGAAGGGTAGTCATGTTAGAATTCTTTTCCAAAATGAACAGTTTTAGTTGGAGTCAGCTTGTGTCATTTTTCCCCTGCAGTACTACAACCTGACCATGGCTGAACTGGATGCCATTGTAGAGAGTGCCATTCACCATTACATCTTATTGCCACTCAAGCCCGAGATCTACAAGTGTTTCATCAACGATCACAAAGAGTCTGGTGCCCTGGACATACTGGACCACAACATACAGCTGGCCCGGGCCAAGACCCCAGTAGAGTTGGGCATCAAGGTAGAGAGGCGAAGATTCATTTGAAAGGGACTTATTATCTGTGTGGCTTGGATTATCTTCGCATGAAAAATGTTTGAACAACATCAGTGATAGTTATACCTAAAAATAACTTCTGTTGGACACTGGTACAAACCCAAGTGTATTCCACACTCTTGGGGCCAGCTTCATTCATTGACAAGGAACTAGGACACTTGTGTGGTGTGTTCTTCCTGTAGGCTTTAAGTTCCAGCACAGAGTTCTGACCAAATACCAACTTTGCTTATTGGTGTTTGCTTGGCACAAAGATGTACTCTTCAGCATTTTGTGCTTTGTAGCGTGGTGAAATTTGTCCAAGAGGTTAACAAGTAGCAAATAAGGTAGATGAAAATGATCCTTCTCTCCAGAAAGGATATAGCTAGGTCAATGTGCGTATGCATGATGTGTTACAGTAGGTATGCTGTAAGATGTCATTATTTATCATTGGAATTCATGGTTTTAGAAGACCAAGCAGAAATGTTTTGGTTATGAAGACTTCAATTTTTGTCAATAATCAGGAAAACTACACACCACCAGAGGGTGAGAACCTGCAGAAAATTCGACAGTATTTCCACCAGTTGGAAGAAGCCTACTCACCCATCAGGAAGCTGGAGCACCTCCTAAACATAGTCAGGACTGTCTATGACACGGTAGGGGCCAAGAGATTGTCATTGCTGCACATTTCTTGAACTTTCTAAACTTTTTCTGCGGTTTTTGTGAGAACTTTTAATGTTTAAAACACCTTACTGAATGTGACTGAAGTTTCTGGCCTTCCAACGCCAACAGAATCTAATAGCAAGGCCAAATGGTCCTTTTTCCTGTGCTTGCATTCTCAATATCCAACAAGTGTTGCACACTGTTGGATCATGTGGGATTCAGGAGGGTCAAGGATAGTTTTCCAGACATTCATTGGCTTTTTGTCACCTTTACAGTACCTGACTGGATGTCATTAATTTCACATGTGTAGAATCGAATGAGTAAAATTTGAAGGAGCTGCCAGAATCCTATATATAGATATGATGTATGGACATGATGCCATATTAGGTATGATCAATGTAGCTACCTGAGAACATACATGGGCTACTTCTCAAATAGACTGGTTCCTGTCCCATACGTCGTCTCCAGACGTCTTAACCACTTCCTGCCGGGGCAGTTATCAACGTTGATGATGCTGGGCCGGGATATTTATCTTTTTTTTCTGTTTTCAAAATTCTTTAAAAATTCTGATCTTCATTTACTGGACACTTACAAACTTGTGACGGACTGTCTGGTGTCCACTCTAGCCTGACAGACAAAATCTATTGACGCTTAAGTACATGTATTTCAGCCAGGCCTGCAGCCTTGTAAAAAGAGCCCAGATTGTGCGGTGTTATATAACTGTCTTTTGTTCACGAACCTGGCTCAGTGTGCTGCGGACTTCTTTTCAATAGGGGCCAGATTAGCATGCAGCGGTGCTGGCTCTTCACTGCAGTGGTGTAGCGCTTTTGTCCCCGGTGGCAATCCGCTTGCTCTAAATGCCCCAAACCATGGTATACTGTTTCAAAACAAGGCTGGATTATCTCCACTTTTGAGAGTGAAAAAATGTCGGTAATTCCCAGCAGCCTGGTCTTTTGTTCCGAGTACAGTCTTTTGTTACAAGGCCCTGTTCCCTTTGTCCGAGTTCGGAGACCCCGGCCACGCATATAAAGCATGCGTGTCTGGATCCGGAATCCCTGGCAGGGAGTGGTTAAAGGCATCCTCTGCATGTAGGCACCAGTAATGAACCAGGCAGAATCCTGCTAATTTTATGTAAATCAGGAAACGACGCCTGCTCAATTCACAAATCACGCAGGAGCAGATGGAAAATTTTGCTTTTTCTTCTTCGTTACCGAAAATATTTTCACCATAAATTGTTCATTTTTCTCACATTGAACAAAATAAAATTAAAAATTTTAAAACATAAAATGGTTTATCAGTGATAATCATTGACAAAAAAATTAGCACATATGATCAGCAGACACTTAGCAAGGATAGGTACTTGTGTTTTATTTGCCTCCCCAGTGAAACATATTTCATGTGAAAGCATTGCTGTTGGCCTAACAAAAACTTAAATATTCAGCGTCCAAATTGACAGGGCTAATCACACACATTAAACCGCAGCTAGCTACTTGTCCCTTTATTAGGGACGGGGACCAGTCCACTTCTCAAACTTCCGACTTGGTCACCGCCCCAGGATCCATTTGGTTACCTTTTAATGCTCGGACTCAAATGAAATGACACCAACCTTTAGTACTCAGTGAATAGGATCTGCCTACGGCAGTAAAATAGCACCCACTTTTAGCCGCAGCTTCAAACTGCCGGTTTAGAAGATAGAGTCTGGAGCCTTTATTGTAGAGATGGAGTTTAGGTTTTGAGAAATGGCCCTTATGAGGCTGGGTCCTAATGTTTGGGCTACATCTGGGCCTGATATGCCAGCCAGTGGAAGCCGCAGCCACTACCGAATGTGTTATGTCTCAGCCACAGCCAGTAGATTTAGACTTGATCTCAATCACCTTATGAAAACCTTATTACGTGGAAGTCAAAACTGGACCGGCACTAAACCCTTTTGTGCAAGGAATTCATCAGGGATGTTGTAAAAGGAAAACATCTATAATTTAAAAAAGTGTCAAGTCACTTTTTAAATTTTGATTCTTACATGTATTTCAACCTAATCCTGGAGTCAAGGCTAAGTTCAGAATGTGATTTTCTTGTTTAGAGGGAGTTTTATACTGGGCACAAAATGAGTTATTGTACCAGCATTATGCACAAACCTAACGTAAGGGTTTTAAAATGTTTTTTTTTTCTAGGTGGTTGACAAGAACTCTAGCAGGATCCAAGCAGTACAGTCAATGGGAGCAGATGGTAAAAATCTCTTTTTTTGAGTTATCCAATGTTTTTTACATAATGCCTGAAAAAATGCCTGTCATCTGATGAATCTGATGGTGAATAGCAGATCATGAGACTTGAAATATTCATTTTCATTCATGGTGCATGCACATCACATAAACAGTGCAGATCAGGTGGTTTATTTTCGTCAAATCTGTATGCATGGTTGTGCTGTGCATGGTCAAGTGTTGTAGCACAGCTCTTTGGCCAGCAGCTTGCAATAAGCATCTAGCAATGGTCTCTCTTAAACCAAAGAAATTTCTGAATTTCAAATATAATATGATAGTAAATATGCTGTCAAATGACAATCGGTTTGTAAGATACCGGTACCAGAACATCTGCTGAAGGGTAACTAGTTTGGAATGTGTCAACCTCCTGTCATGATTTTATGCTGGACTGACAAAAGAAGCAGCGATTTATACACCAAGAGAATCAAGCTTATAAAACAATTTATAAATACCTCAGAGAGTCTCCCTATTCAACCACATCCAACTTGATCGTGTATTAACATTTGATAAAATCCGCTGAGAAGTGATAAAACCCGCTGCGTAAATAATGCACTGATGCCTGGATACCAGAGAGTTTAATCGATTCTGATTGGTCAAGAGCCTGTGTGCACCCGGCTCGCCACGTCGGGCAATTTACACAACGAATATTCTATAAAATGGATGGGGGTGTTTGGGAAAATGGAAGTAAAATTCTAGGACAAAATCGCTGGAAATCCAATGGTGAGAAAAATTTCACAAAGTGACAAGCCGAATAAGGGGGGGGGGAGATAGGGTTGACGTCCATACTGTGGTTCCATCCAGGTGGCTTGTGTCATATTTTGATGTGGGAACGCTTAAATCTTGGGTTTTAGCAGAGTGTGATTCACAGCAAGTTGATTTAGTTGAGTCAGAAGAAGTCATCAAGTCACAAGTCAAGCCACCAACTTTTCACATGTGACACAGGTGGTTTTTTACACAGCTTTCTTTCCCCTTTAATTGCATCCAGAGTTGTATTGATTTGTAATTGAAGGCAGCTAAGTGAGATTAGACTTGCCCTGTGAAAGGAATTACAATTTTAGTGAACCTTTTCTTCTAATTGAATGGAGCATTAAAGAGGGATGAAGCAAATTTTGAACCAATAATGGACAAGTTTTGAAGACTGTTCAGCAAACTACAGATTTCATAGTTTTTTTCTCTTTTTTCTTTAATTTTTTCTGTAGATTTTCTTCCGATGTTCATTTACGTGTTGGTCCAATGCGAGGTTGTCAATGTTGAGATTGAGGCTGACTACATGTGGGGCTTGCTGGAACCCACAATGTTGTCTGGAGAAGGAGGCTATTACCTTACCACACTCAGCAGTGCAAGTGAGTCAGTCCCATTCTACAGTTGACTTCAAGGTTGTCGGTTTAATTTTTCACGCAACCCATTAAGTAAAACAGTATTTGCTGATTTATCACAGTTAACACCAGAATGCTTCTAAAACACTTTTACAGGACAAAAAAGTTTTGGTGTTCAAGTTATGTACAGCACACACATTGATTACTGAAATGAACATATTCACGTGTCATTCTTTTCTGTTTAGCCTTCCATTTGTCCTGTTATAGATCACATGCGCATCAAAATGTACTGCTTGGATTTGTTTTCTATTTGCATTGAGCAAATGTTGAATATTCAAATCAAATAAGGTACTACACCATTATCATCTCATTGAACATTGAGGAAAAAAGTTTTGAGAGTTTTTCATGAAAGCTAATTTTGCATGTTTTATGTTTGACTAAAAGTGTGTTAATTCTTTTTTTTAAATCAAATTATTCTGGTGAACTATAACTTGTGTGGGGTTTTGTTCTCGGAAGAATTGGATTCAGTTAACCATTAAATTCTGCAACGTTGAACCCTACTTTGTGGCTATAGTGCTCGCATATATAAAAATTTTCACACCCCCTGTAAGGACAAAAGCCATTTACATGTATGCAGACATCTCGGTTGCATGCTGACCCATAAAATTGCCAACCATTAGGATACAGTTTTCTTCTGTAGTCATGGTAGTTGTGGGTTCTTCACTCACGATTAGCATTGTCTTGAAATTGGGTCCCGCTGGGTTGGTTAAACCTTCCTGAATCCTCCCAAATCCACCACCGTCTAAGAAACTAGCAGCATGTTGTTTGTACCTCGATTTCTGAGGTGCATCAAGCCCTGTGTAAAGTAATTGTGACTGGGATTTTGCCTGCCACAATCCTACAAAATCCCTGCAATCAGACTGGTGGATTTGGAAGAATCTGGGAAGGTTGGGGCTGCAAATTTTCTTACTTGTCGGAGTGTATCTCTCCCTAACTTCAGGCCTAATTACCTTATCATGGTCCTGTTTCCTCAGTTTGCGTCTTGAAGCAGTTTGAGCAGGAGAACGTCTTCACAGAGACCAAGGGTTTCTTATCTGTCATGGTTGCCCTGGGTGATGCTGATGATCATGTGGTTCATAAGACACTACCCGTCCTACCAGGCATGAATGCAGGCGATGTCTGTAAGTACTATAGATCTGGATTTTCTTGGCACGAACCACTTTTGGTGCTTCTCCTGATCAGTTTGATTTATGCAGACCCGTGTTATTCTTCATTCTATATTTCATTTCTGTTGTCATCTTTTCTGTTAAATGTGTGTGCATTGTACTCATCAAAACATCAAATGTAGGTATAAGCATGTTTCAAGGCTTTCTTTGTGGAGATCATAAGACTTGAGAATGGTAAACTAGGCTTCATATGTATTCTGAATGTTGCTTATATGGTAATTGTTTGAGACCTGAACAGGGCTTTGATCTTGTTGAGAAAGCCTTCTATAATCATGTGGAAAATTTGAGCTGTTGGAATTGTGCATCTAGCTTCGTTTGTGTTGCATCTCAAATATGTTCATTCCACAATGTGGACTAATTTTCTTCCCTCAAAAATTTGTTTCCTTTTGAGTGTTAATGGTACGTTTCCTTTTGAGTGTTAATGGACGTTTGATAATTTGGTCATTTCTCCCAAACAGCTCGTATTCTGGCCCACAAGATGAAGATTGATAATGCCCATCAGTATCAACTCTACTTAATATCAGGAGAGGAAGGTAAGGCAGTCAGACAGTCAGTCAGTACCAGGAACTAAATTTGGAAGCCAATTTTGCACCATAATTGTGTGCTAACCTACGAAAATGAATTACAGATCACTAAAGCTGTTTCTTTGTGAAAAGAATTTTGTCCTGTGTAAATCAATGAGCCTCCAGCTGGACCAAGAGAGGGCGCTATTTTCTTAGCAATGGAGGCTCCTTTGGGTGGAACTGAACTTCGCTGGTTCACGGACGACTAGGAAATGCATGTGTTATGGTCACATTGCTTACAGACACAATGAACACTCCCAACTAATATGGGTCGTTTTAACCGATGAGGGGGTGCTTCTGCTCGCGACAGATAGGAACTCCCTCTACATTTTCACTCACGTAATGTTTTCATTATTTTGATCAGGATGCCAAACTGAGTGACACATCAAAACTGTTAGCTCTTTCTTTTGACACTGAAGCAAAATGAGTGAAAAAATTACTGTTAGACTCTTTTTGTACAATCCTGTCTCAGATTTCAAAGTAGAGTTTACTCAACCATTTTCTGTGATCCAGGGTTGTCCAAAAGGCCACTGTATTTGTTAAAAAATCTCATTTCATTTTTTAATTATGTTCAGAAAAAAAAGCAGTACCCAAATTCTTGGGATTGTTGCAGCGTCTCGTTCTTGCCAACCTGTGTAGCATTTCCCCAAAACAGGATGGAGTTTGTAAGGTTTGGAGAGGTGCCTTGAAGTGAAAAAAGTTTAATTTGGTGGTATTTTATTCCTTTTTTTTTTTGACAGATACACCAATTGGTGACAATGAGTGCCCCCTGGAGATAAAGGAGGATAAAGGCACTCAGATGAGGCCCTGCTTTGGATACAAGATAGAAGGCAGAGCAGTCACATGGTTCCCTCTATTGTTACCGTAGTGGACAGGCCTGCAGTGTGTGCCAATGACTGAACAAAATCTCATCTCAAGTGGATTGTTGTCCATTTAAGTACGTGTAATCACAGGAACAAATGAAGAAAAATTGTGGGATCTTAATCGATGCAGTATCTTCAAGAATGCCTGAAAACTGTTTACATCAAGTTTGTCTCTGTTTATGCCAGCTACCTCAGCTGACCTTGTCAACTTGCAAATGGGCTTGGCGAGGTTAAAAACTGTCTTCCAAAGAAGCATTGTTTCTTTGTAAATGATCTCCCTGTAAGTCAACCTCAAGGTGCTTTTTCCACCAAGGCCAAGCTTATCAGTGTAACTCGAGAAGGGGAAATTCTTACTGGATGTCATCCCTTCTTTCTGCAGCAAATCGATTTATGCAAATTCCAGAACTGGAGATAATTTGACTCATTTCTGAAATCAAATGGATGGTGAATGAAGTAGACGGTCAGTTGAAGGTCCTGACATCCTTCTTTCACTAGCTCTATCTCAAAGTTCAGCACTGTCTCCAGCCCTGGCAATGACATGGTCTCTGGTCCCAAAACCCATTCTGTGAGCCAAATGTTTGATGTTTCTGTAGCTAACGAATGAGTTACATCAGTGTTGCAGTCGACCACCTTAAGACAAGTCGTGAGGTCACTCATAAGTAGGAGGCTGTTGACAAAGCAATGCTTTCGTTACAATTCAGTTGAATAGCTTTTAGCTTGAATTTTGACTGGAGGTCCTGTGATGGTCACAAAGGGTCTCAAATACAACAGTGGCCTAGGTACATGTACCCGGAATCTTCAAAGTCAATCAATTTGAACTTAGGTAATTGTAGTCCCAAGCTCAGGATAAAGCCAAGCGAAGGGTTGGAAAAAAAATCACCTGTGAATCTAACATTCCTGTGTACAGCCTCCTCTTTGGGAAAATTGGTTGCTTTAGGGATGTTTTCCTTCAAATTTCTACACAGAACCTATCTAAATGGTGTCTGGTAGTGTCATTTAATTCACATGGTTTGTATGAAGTCAGTTTTCAAAATACTTATCCAAGATTGGCAAATTTGACTGAAATGTTTCACCATTATTGAAGATTAATGATTATTGCAGAAATGTTTTACTGTAAAAATATGTACATATTTTTCAGAGGCATCCTGCCCTTTTGGGATATTTGCTTTAGTGCAGTTTATTTAATACCAAAGAACTTTATGAATTAATTGAAACATTTCATATATCAAAGCAATTTTTATAACTATAAAAACATTGCAATACTTAAAACTGGTATCGGAAAGAAACTGGAATTTTGTCATGTTGATGCAAGTTTCTGATAATTCTATTTTCACATATTCAACTCCCAAGTTGTCTTCGCTAGATCATTTTGGACAAAGATTTTGGTTTAATTGGAAATAGAAGGACTTCAAAATTGCTGAAAAGCGATTATCTCCCAGCTTTGCTTTTTTTGAAAGCTCCTCAGAGCTGGTGTTTCTTGGTTTGTACCAGGAATTTAATGGGAAATGTGTACTTGATGGTGCACAGATTTGATGATTCGTTCCTCCAATTAATCACATCAAAGCGGTTTCCTCTTTTAGGTGGATTTATCTATTACAGGTTCACTGAACTTCAGAGAAAAGAAACTATTTTACAATAAAAAGGTTAAGACAATGAATATCCTTATTGCTTCTCTGTCCCCGGGGACTCTTTTCTTCAATGCTTAATGGGGTAATACTAGTGTCAAAATCCTTCAACTGGAGCAGATGGAATAGTTACCACTCAACATACCTCTAGCTGATTGGGTGAAATGTGGTCAGGTGTCGTTCGCTAGTACACTATCTCCTGCACTGTAGTTGTGGGGACATACACTCGACATTTCACCTATTTCATGGGGACCGAAAACGTGGGGACTCAGAAATGTCCCCACAACTTGGTTCAAATTTCCTTGACAAAAGAGCATGTCCCCGGAATGTGGTGAATGCCTACCCATGAACCTTACGTCAGTGTGAACCGGACGTATGCTTAAGACGTCACGTGCACATGAATTCCGGGGAGCTGAAGCCCAGTCACAGCTTGTGAGTCACCAGAAGGACCTACATTTGTACTTTGGCCTGCAGCCTCGGGAAATAGAGCCCTCTCCCCAGTCACAGCAAACGAGACGTACACTACTGACCTCACTGCCTGTCAATATGTTTATATAAACCACTTGTCAACGACATTATTCCATACTGCACTTGTCCTGGGCATGGTATTATTTCATCAACCAGAGTCCCCTTACAAAGTTGTACTTTACCGATGCTGACCCCAGGTGGTCATCTGCTCCAAATTTGTGAGACATTTCTTACTACAATGAGGCTCTTTTGAAACTCTGAGACAGTGTCGAAGAATATTTGCCTCAACGCCCTTCCCCGGCCCATGACTGCTTGAGGGCTCCTCACCCACTCCACGTCCAGGGCTGCATAGAGAGAGTAGCGCCAACTTCAGAATGTGGAAACAAAATGGCTGTTCATTATGTGCACGGTAGAGTGCAGCTATTGTATACCAACTGCCCCAGTGCACAGGCATATACACCTGCCAGTTTGTTTCCAACCACAGTAATGCTTGTGTCACAACTCTCTCTCTCTCTCTCTCTCTCTGAGTCTGTCCTCCTCCAGGGGCCATGTGAGCCTTGATGTGTGCGTATATCATGCGGGAATCAGATATCATGTGGAAATATATACAGAATTTGCCAGATTGCAAATGCCATGAAATGGCCTCCATGTTATGACAGGAAATCTCTGGACAAATATAAAGGTCTTAGGAATGCAAGATGTTTATTTTTATTTTGTTCAGACGGCATCACGGATCAATGGATACACTCAACATACATTTATTAGAGTTGCTTGATTTTATTTGATGAATATTAGATGCATAGGCAAAAGCCAAACTTCAACCTTTGACAAGAAAATTACAGGGGGGAGCAAGCATATAATTTCCTTTTCAAGATACATATTCATAAAATGTACCAAAACCGGAATACAAAATAATAAATTAAAATCCTATTCATAAAAGACAAGAAAATTAAAGGGAGAAAAGTTTAGCATTGCATGCACACATACCATGTTTCCCTTTAAGGATATCCAGGTATAACCAAATCTGAATTAAAAAATCAAAATCTCTCCAACATAATGTGGGATAAAATTTCTTCCAGAATAAAAGCACGATCAAATAATTGCTTGGCAATGTAAACACTTCCTCACAAGCATTCATCAAACAGTATGCTTTTTGGCAATTTTACACACCTAAACATCTGATAAATTCTCACTGCTTTGCTATATAGAATGCACATCTTCAAATGAAGAAAACAAAACAAGATTTGGGAGAACTGAAAGTTCTCAGAAGTGCTGTAACTGTTAGCTAATTTAAGCAAGAAATATGGTTCAAAGTTCACATATATAATGGCTGAACTATGCTTGTAAACTATTTTGGAACTAGCCTTCCATAGTTGCATAGCAAGCCAGGAAATTTAAGTGTCAGAATGCAATAAAACAATTGATTTCCCGGGTAAAGAACTGCCAAAATATATTTATATATAATTCATCTCGAACTGAAATTCTTAACATTGTTCCCCAAAGTAGTGTGACATTGAAACATCAAACAAGAAACTTCGACCAGAGACAGGTGAAACAGGAATTTTCTGAAAAAAGCTCGTAATTTGGGTCGAAGACATCTGCCACTACAAACCCTGAACAGTATCTCTTGGTTTAGCATCGTTTTGACTGTAGCTTTTGTGTGATTTCAGCATGGGCACCACTAGAATTCATCGGACCACCCAATTTAAAAGCCCTTACCAAGCATACGAGGGGGCACAGTGAAATGCGAACTTATAGGACCAGGTATGAAGAATTTCTTACACAGCAATACCTTTACCCCCCAGAGAAATAGTATAAAATTGCATGCAGGCTTTCTCCTTGTTTTTTCAACTAGTTACATATTTTTCTTAACTGCCCTGCTATCAGAAAAGCACACAATCATATTTCAATGATAAGCACAACTGGACATTACACTTAAGATTCTGCTTGATGTAGTTAGTTACTTGGCACTGATTCCATAGCGTCGACACCAAATGACAAGTATGATCACAAATGCTGATTTCAACAACTTTCTCCTATTTTGGAGCTATGAAAATGCTATCTGTTTGGAGTCTTCTTACTCCTTTGTTTTAGATACAGTTAGAGAAGTTTAGATTTGTTAGAGAAGTGCAAAATATGATCAGCATGAAAGGATGATTCACTGACCCTATTGAACGCATCTCAATACAGACTAATGTCAATTCACAGTCACAAGCGAGGCAGGGGGCCATACAAGGCATTTGACACAACAGCTTCACTGAAGTCCAAATTTCACATGACGCCAGGAGCGTGTTTTGGCGACTGTGACCTGAAATATGTTTCTGCTTTGTTCTCTGGTTGGGCATTTTCACGACTCCAGTTATACCCGTGGGGCATCACTGGCCAAAACACAAACTGAACATTGGAGTCGGTTCATCGCCAGTTCAAAATGGTGGAAAATGGCAAGATAATATTTTGGTTCTCTCCCAAAATAAGTGAATTGTGAACTTGCAAATGTATTGTTACATGCAATGAACCATATCTGGTAGCAGTTAGGAACTTTCCAAATATTTGAAAATGATGCATGTCAACAATGGCGTCTGCTACCCCTTTTTTGTCTCTCTTAGATGACGCAACTGTTTTTAGTCATGCATTTCTGCAGACCACTGTAAATGTGCTCCTGGTCATTGATTCAACATCACAAACATGTTTCTGGTTAGTGGTTGGGGAAACATACCTGAATATCCCCGAATCCAGAACAAGTGTAACTGGAGATGGGGAAGTTGCCTACATGCGGGACGTCCTCTTCTTGGGAACGAAACTGCCTTTCAACATTCACACTTTCTCTTTGGTCTCTTTTAAGGTTTTAGGCTGCCCTGAAGACTTATCGGTTTGAGGAAAGCTACAAAACTACCTTTCAACATTCACACTTTCTCTTTGGTCTCTAAGATTTTAGGCTGCCCTGAAGACTTGTTTGTTTCAGGAAAGCTACAGTATTTTCGTTTAGTTCATTTCATTGTTATTTTGCTGTTCTGATTGTAATACTCTCTGAGCGTAATTTTCTTTGGATACTGGCACACTATAAATCTTTATTGTTTTCATTACTTAGAAGCATCAATAAAACAACTTTTAGAAACACTGACATGACATTCGCAATCGAAGCCGTATGGTACAATACAGTAGACTGCTTGATGTCAGTGCAGGTGCAAGACAGCGAGACGCAGGATTCATCAACTTACTCCTTGGACGGTAGAGCAGTCTCCACGACGCTGAACTTGATGCCACGTTTGTCAAGTCTCTCAATCAGCCGAGTCCGGGAGAAAGCAGCCGCCGGGCTGAACACACCACCGCTGGAGATAAAGAGTGTTTGTATCAGATATTTGAAATAGATAACAAATGCAGAGACAAAAAGAAAGAAAAGACAGAAACATTCAGATTCATGTCAATGCACTGTATTAACCACTTGCTGTCGGGGAACTCCATTTCAGGCACATAGGCTTAATACACAAAACCAAGGAGCCCCAAACCATCCTTTTTTTGAGAGATTATACCACTGTTTGTGGCATGTAGCACGAGTGGATTACCAGCGGGGACAAAAGCACTCCAGCGATGAGCGATACTTACTGATGCATGCTAATCTGGCCCCAATTGAAAAGACGCCAGTAGCGCACTGTGCCCGGTTCGTGAACAAAAGAAAGTTACACAATCTGGGCTCTGTTTACAATGCGGCAGGCCTGGCTGAAATACTCCGGCGTCAATAGATGCTGTTTGTCAGATTATAGTAGTTACCAGACAGTTATTCGAGTGGGTGTAAATGTTCAGTAAATGAAGCTATGATTTTTTTAAGAAGTTTGAAAATGGAAAAATCTTGAAAATCTCCCGGGTTTACGTCATGCAACTTCAAATTCCACCCAGCAGCAAGTGGTTAATGGACTAGACAGAGCTGTCTTCAACCCGGCCAAAATATACTTTTGAGCAAATTTGTTACAAATGGAGCTACCAATTATAACAGTGCTGTGGAATACATACAAGAAATAATACAGTAGAGTCCCTGTGTATACAGAAAGTAATCATTACCATAGCAGCATATAACCTTAATTTATTTACGAACTGTAACACTTTGTATTACATTGTGATTAATTCTCTTCAACATTAATAAGCACATTCATGTTGCAGAGAGACAATGATTGGTTATCTTCAACACAACTGTGCACATTTATCTTCTTGGCTATATTTCTCTATCCTTTTTTCCCTTGTTTTCGAAGTTGTTCTCACCTTGCCGGCAGATTGTCCTTCTCGGACAAGATCACCAGACCAGCCTGAACCATCATGATCGGGGTGGCAACATATCCTGGCTCTGTGTACCCCAAAACACAAACAAGAAAATCAGAAAGATTTCTAATGGTTTGCACCTATTAAATCAACCACCCACTGGCCAGCATACAAGCAGGGCTCAAAGAGAATCCTGAAACAATGACATTTCAGGTGCACTTTCCTGTGGAGTTTCAGATCCATCGTCCCTGCTCCCAACGGAATGTGAACAAAAAGTGTGATGTCATCAGTACATAGGCCTAGTGCAAACTTGGACAAACTGCATCAGAAATACTGCTTATAGACCACTGTCAGTTTTACCTACTATTTGTAAGGGTAACCAAGTTTACAGAAATACCATTCTTGATTAGTTTTCAGATTTTACCTCAAAAGGTAGACTTGCCCCATTAATCTTGAAAAGGGTGACATTTTCAGTTTTGTATTTAAGTAGGAGTGTTTATTGTTTGGTGTTCTGATACATGTACATGTAACTGCGTGCAACTTCTTAACACTTAATGAATCATTCTTTTACTCTATACTGATGGCTAGCCATAATTTTACCGGCCAATGGCAGACAAAAATTATGACTGTGACTTGGAAAGAGCAGACCCTACAGAAAAGTGGGAACACATTGAGAATGGGCTTTCATGGGTGAAATCAGGTATGGCTCCTTGTAGGTGACAGACACACACTGGGCTGACACACATGAATGCAATGACCGCTATCTTGCCCACAGACACAGACAATTTTTGCACATTCAGTCCACACCACGGAACAAGTTGGAGCGACGACCTATGTCACAGGGCTTGTTCACAGGCCAGATGTACATGTACATTCCAACTGAAATTGGCTGGGAATGCTTACAGCATGACTTGTGCCAAACTCAAATGAATCTGGGCACATATGCTGTAAGTTTCAACCAAAGGGATGTCACTGATGTGTAATAACATGTCATCTCTTGTTTCAGCACAAAGCAGCTTCGGGTGCCGATGCCATTATGTCATCAAATTCAACAAGGGTTTTATCTGTATGTTCTCTGTTTACTGAAGCCTGCACTCCACTGAATATCTGATACTTGTGTTTACAGACAGATCATGGGACCACTTGCCCTAGCCAATCACAACTTTTGATTACAAACAACGACGCTGATGATTAGTTGGTAGCTATCAGCTAGCGGTTACACCAGTAGTAGACGCTCACTAATTGGACACAACCTGGAGGTAGAGATGCAGATATCTTACATCTACGGTATCACATCATAAGGGGAAAAAAGTGCTTGGCCGATCTTACACATGCATTTCAGACCGGCTCAGCACATATTTATTACCTTTCAAAAATACTTTTTTAGTCAGAGAATCAAAAGAAGTTAATATATGATGGATTTCCAGCGATTTTGTTCTAGAACTTAACTTTCATTTTCCCGAACACCCCCGTCTATTTTATGGGATATTCCTTATGCAACTTGTCAAATTGGTGCACGCATGGCAACCGTGTGAACACAGACTCTTGACCAATCAGAATCAATTAACCCGTCTTGTGTCCAGGTGTCACCGTATGATTTCTGCAGTGGGCATTATCACTTCTCAGCGGGCATTATCAAAATGTTAACACATGGTCAAGTTGCATGTTGTTGAAGAGGGAGACTGTCTGAGGTATTAATGAATACAAGTAGACGTTTATACAACATTTTGCCTAGTGGTGTACATTTACGGGTAGTGTGGGAACCAGGCACCTGATTCCAGTAACAGACAGGTATTGGTACCCGTAATTATTATTCATAACAAAACATGTTTAGTGGAGTATTTTCCACCGCGTCCCCACCAGCTCTACTGGCAAGCTCCTGGATCGAGTGCTGCTCTGGCATGCTCCCTGGAACTTGTTCAGGAACTACAATGGCACGGGACAACTTCGCAACTGAAACTTTTAGTAAAATCTCACCTACTCAAATGGAAAAAGCTCAAAATAAAGCAGTCAAATTTCAAGCTAAAGAAAATTTCCGGGTAATGGAGTCATACTAGGCCTTCACATGACATCTGAAACCGAAATCAACCCACTCCGTGGTGGTACGATTTTGTAGTTATTTTCCTTTTCCACGTAAGTGCTAATGGTGGACAGTTTTGCTCATTTTTTTCACTGATTTTATATTGTTGTTACCTAATGTTTCATTTTTATTGATAAAAGGCAATAAACCACTTAAACATTATATCTCCGGGGGCAAACCTTTCATATTTTTGGTCTATTGTCTTAACAGCACAACGAGCAGCACACAGCCAGACTTCTTTTCACTTGAACCTTCATGACCCTTCCTGCTGCAGTCACATGACTCCCCTACGGAGTCAGCAATTGGACTGCCTACACACCAGCTACAATTGGGTCCTCGGCTGCAATCAGGCTTGCTTGAAAGTGCGGGATTTGTTGTGGTTACGGGTTGGTTTGGTTTATGCAGCTTGCATACAAGTAACCCTGATGTGAAAAGACCAAAGTGTGCCAGGCAAAGCTGGCCGGCCTACGATAAGTCGAACATGCAGCAAGTCATGTTTTGAGTCCACATTCATATTTTACTCAGATTTTTTTCTTACAGTTTACCGGCAAATAAGCAAAGGAAAAGGGTGCTTGCCTTTCAGAAATGTTACAATGAAATTTACAGGGGAAGTTTCAGGTAATATAATCGACAAAATGAAGCCTGGTACCCGTGATCAATGGTCGGGTTCCGGGTAACTGGGTACTCAGCATGGCCAGAGTCTTCCCCATGGATTAGCAGGTGCTAAAATCAATTGTTTTTTTCCTCTCAGTGGTTGAGAGAAGTGGGTTGCAAAGTAGACAAAATGGACGACACATCCTGAGAGACTGTGACAAGTGCCTCACCTGGCCCGGTTACCTTGGTAACCATGGTGACATCATGCTTTGTCTGGTCATTATCAGCACCGGCACTAAAACCCTCGGCATTCAGCACGAAACTGAAGGTAGTTCCATCCATTTGCTCACGGGTCGGCCCCTCATGGGAAAACCCCCCACCGGTGAAGAGCTTGGGGTACTGGAGTACGGCAAAGAGGTGTCAAAAGATAAATGATACAAGGAGCAAACACTTCTTACACCATGTGAACTTCCCCTCCTATGTCTTATATTGGTCCCGAATTGGATTTGTATGGTACTAGATTTGCACTTAACGTCCTGAAATCACATTTACTTTTGGCAAACAGAGGAATAATTGTGTATTTCAAATGCCGAACAGGTGGCTGGAGGACTGTCTCCTCAATCACGCAACTCAACTTCAGCCAAAACTTGTATCGATGCTTGTGCTTACCTTCTCCAGCAATTTCCTCCCAAAGCTGAATTTGGCCAAGAAGGCAAAGATGATGCCGAAAAACAGGAGTACCATGAGCGAAAAGAAGCCACCGATCTCAAAGTAGGCACCATACTGGACCTGGTCAGGTAACAAGAACAAGCTTAGCAATCTCATTGTCTTATATTTATCCTTTTATCTCCTGCAGAAGTTCGTGAACCTCTGACATATCTAAACGTAAATATTTTACATAACGTCACTCTATGTAAAAATATTGCTAGAAGCTGTTGATTGGTTGATTGCCGTCAACGGACCACAATATCAGTTGACAGTATCAGCTGACCGTATTCTTTTTCATGTCATCAAGCCTTTCCCACAAAGGCCCACAGTTCAAGGCATCTGATTGGTCAAAATCTTAAGGTAAACAGGTCCTTTCTTGCACAGATAATCCCCAGATATGCTCAGGTATCACAGATGGTTGTATACAATCAATAGACTATTCCAGAAACTAGGTCCGCACTGGAGAAAGGATACATCATTTCTCCTTGACTTACCGGTCGTTCGTCATTGTTCTCATACAGAAAGCGTTGTGACCTTCGAACGACAGACACATCAGAGCCTGGGAACAAGGTGCACCACTTCTTCGTCTTTTCATTGTAGAAAATAGCACCCCTGAAAGTCAGCAGAAGAAAATGTCATGGCTTTAAGACAATGTCTCATACAAGACAGTAAAACATTAAATGGCAGTTGATCACATAACCATCTCCAAATTCTGATATCAGCAGGTTTACCCGGTACATATACAAAGTCAAAGGCAATATTGTCTGGCTGAGCATACTTACACGTACATGTGCGTGTTGTGGTTCAGGCATGTAGCACATCACTTTTAAAATGATACAATCGCACAACTTAGGTAGAAAATTCAACATTCTTGCTGTTACTGGTGACATATTTTATAACAACGTAAAACCTCTTTCCCTGTTGAAAATAACACAGCTAGAAGAGACAGTCCTAATTTCCAAATCCTGTTTCATTAAGTGTTTCAGTGATTCTTCCCCAACTGTCCACTGAGAATAAGACAACAATGAGAACCAGTGCCGATGGGTTTTGCTATACCAGATTTTAGTTGGTTTTATTTGCCCGTTACATGTACCTTCATAACATAAGGGCTACAGTATTGTGTTGATCAAGTTGGGACCTTCTGCAGAAATGAACACTTTCCACACTTTTTACTTTAAAATTGCAAAGTCAACAATTTCTTTGCTACAACTATTAAAGCCTCTCAGAAGTGCAAAAAGGTCACCACGGCAACCACACAGCATCACGTGCATCGGTCAATGCAAACAAAAAATTCTGTATCCATCCCAGTGGTCATGTACCTGTTGGAACAGAATGATGATTGAACGCAAGCAATGCGCATTTATGACAACTAGGGGTTCCACTGGCAAATTTCAAATAAAAGTCAGTGCATGTTTGAGGCCACATATTATCCATTATCATATTTTCTCGCCACTTGCTCAGGATTAAAGCCAAAGTTTGTAAATAATTAATGTTTGGTAAAATGACAAAGGAAAGCTTGAACCTTGTATTTCATTATTAATGTCATTCTATGACCCTCCATAATGCAAGATATTCTGGCAACTGCAAGAGGGATGTCTTTGTAGACGTAAATATCTTGTTGAAAAAGCCCTCCGTACAGGAGTAAACCTGAGAACTTGTCAGCAAGCTATAAATGCATTTCAATGGCAACTTATACCAGTGAGTCGTTAACAGAAATGTGGAGATTTGCCATGTTTGCCATATTTGCTTTTCACGTTTGTACCAACTACACAGAATATACTCATCTGTGGTTCAACCCACACTAAGGCCAAATGGTGTAGGTCGAGGTTGAGAAGGAGTAGCATTGGCAGCTTTACATGCCCACAAGCGACTGAGAGTTGGGTCTGACTAGATGACAGTCAATATACTCGGTTATGCAGTCAGTGACTTTGAAGGTCTTTGGGCTCAACAAAAATGACTGAAGCAGGATTCAAACTGTAATCTCACTGACATGCTACACACTGCACTCCCCACAATAGCTGACACATTGGAAGGCTGCCAACTTAGCTGTAGACAACTCGCGAACCAGAGGTCAAAGGCAGTGCTGTAGTCAAGACCTAACACAAGACCAGACACAAGTAACAGAGTGAACGATGATAAAGGAAATGTAGCAGTTCATTTGAATACCTTGTAAAAGGTCCAGAGTTGGTCTTGTGATAGTCTTACGAGGTCTGGACTATAACACTGGTCAAAGACTTCAATCAAGTCGTAACATTTCCAAGAGGAGTGCACAAAAGACTGAGTACTCTAACTGATCTTGGATTTTGCTTTCCTTCCTCCCGCTTCTCCTCACCTCTTCTTAAGCCTTGGGGTGTACTTGGGCAACGGCTTGTAGTTGAACTTCTGGCGTAGCTTAGGCAACTCATCGCTGTGAGCAAATCCATAAATGGCCGACTGGTATGTAGTGAAATGACCTTTGCCACCCTGCCACACAAAATGAGTTTTTAAAAAAATCAATAAAAATTGAAATTTTATTCCGGAGGTGATGAAATTTGGACCGGGCAAGTCTATTCGATATATACTTGGCTCCCATAAAATGAAAAAAAATAGCACATTTGTGTTTTGAAGTTAACTTTCTCTGAGTTACACAGAATTGCATATTCATCAAATACTTCCAAATTTTTAGTTTACTCCGGGTCCAAATATACTAAAATAAATGTCACAGTACAAGTAGTACATGTACTTAATTTAAATGCCAAAAAAAGAAAAAAAAAAAGGAGTGATCCATGTCTTCAGAACCTTGACAGTGGGTAGCAACCTTCGTATTTAGGAGGGAAAAGCCGTGTTTAACATGTCCAAACATTTGCTTATTGAAAGTAGTCTGACTCCCTTTTGCAGGTATCTATGCATCCCCAATGTGTGTCCAAACATTGTCCTACTCATTCAAATTACTTTCAGCACGGACTTGAGGACCCAGACCTGGACCTACATGTACACTACAGATTCGGATGCAGTCTAATTTAGGTTTGGTCTCTGCAAGACAGCATCTCAAGTTACATGTACAGTACGTGTGAGCTTTACTTGGGCATTTGAAAATTGATGTAACTGCAGCTCAGATGAAGTCTGTTGTACATGTACACGTACTTATCATATTACTACATGTCCTACTTTGAAGCAGCTTTATTTTGAGAAAAATATCTTCCTTTTCCTATTTGTGGAATTTAAATCCTTTTCAAGAGAATGTAATTGTCAAGGTTTTATCTTTCATCAGTCAGAAAGCACTACTCCGATGCACATCACTGGAAAACTCACCAAGACATTAAAACCAGTATCACAAATCAACTTTCATTTTAAAGTGTGCAATTATTTAGAATACAAAATATGTATGAAATACAAGTATTGAGCAAACAATATATATTGAGCACATTGAAAAAATCAAAATTCCAAAATACTCTGAAAACCTTCCAGTAAAGATCAGTTGGCTCTGTTTTTATCATGCTAACAATGACCATGTACTTTAATCCCAAGAGTTAAGCTATTACCCAGTAATATGTCTTCATGAGTGAATGATTTCCCAAGCAAAATACCAGAAGAAACAGGAAAGAGGACTTAAGTACATGTGCACAATGTCCAATGTGTTGGTGGGTCATCCACTCAGTGAAGCAGCTTGAATTGCCATGTATTCTTGATCTTACGTTGAATTCCCCATGATGATTTACATGGTGTCAGTCTATTCACAGAACCTTGTAAAAATGCTGGTTTTTGTTTTGTTGATTTGTTTATGCCAGCATTTCTTCATTACCTAAAGGAGTTTTTTCCTACGATGTGCGAATGTGAAATTTATCTTTTGAGGGTTCTTGGCCCTTGCTCAAAATGAAATTGATGAAAGTTTCAAGTTGAGACCGCACAAGGCTAAGGGGAAGTACATGTAAGTTACAGCACTGCATAACCAGGCCATGAATGAACAGTCACCATTTCAACAACAGCTGCTGATTTCAAGAAATTTGACATTATTTCATACCATGCATGAGCCTTAAACAGTTTACTGCGCAAGTCTCAGACTTATGCAGTGTGTAAACTTTCTGTAATGTGTCAAAATTTGTTAGGCAACTTCAGCAAATAGACTTGGGTACAAGTGAAGTTACACAATTGTGTAGGCCTAATTTTTCGCAACAATGGCTGTGGGGCTTTTCTGCAGCCAGTGTTGCAAAAAATTAGCCATGGCAATAACAGTAGAAACATCAGCAGCTACAACATGCAGGAAAATTTAAGGCGAGGCGCATACAATGTAAAGGAAAATTCCTCTTTTGAAATGGAATTCAAATATTAGGGAAATACCCATGTGGTTTGCCTACAAAAACATTCAGAAATTGAAACAAAATCAGCATACAACTTGTCATGCCAAATACTACATGCACATACAGTTCTTGGTGGTTTTGTTTATCCTGATTTTGCAAGCAAAACTGCTCATGAGGAAATATTGCCCAGTCAGTTTTAATCATTGTCCACCACATGACACACACAAAGAAGCAGGAAATACATTAAACACAGTCCTCATGCTTTAAACGAGAATGT